CGGCATGGTACATTGTCTCAGCCAAAAAACCTCATAACTCATTGAAGGGTTACGAAATTAACTTTGAAGGAATATATCAGCGCATAAACGAAGAGCTCAAAAGAGTATTCCGGGGGATCTAAAGTTGGTTTAATAAAACAGACACAATTAACAGAAATTGTAGCGATAGAAATTAAAAGTTTTCTGGCTGACTTTGAATTATTTGTTGTTATGAATTTTAGAAAGAACCTCCAAAAAGAGAGCGGAAAACCAAAAATTATTTAATTATTTTTATTTAAACCAAAAATTATAGATGACAGAAATACAAAATTTTCTGAATGACTTTTATTTTATTTTATTTTTATTAATTAATTAATTTTTTTTTTGTTTTGTTTTTTTTTTTTTTTTTTTTTTTTTTTTAAAAAAAATTTTTTTTTTTTTTTTTTTTTTTTTTTTTGTTTTTTTTTTTTTTACTTTTAATGAGTTTTTTAATATATGTATTTACATTTAAATTTTCTTCAGCTTAATTTCATCAATTTCCTTCAGCACATTCCATCATAGCCTTAAAGCATAAGCTTTAAATTATATTATAATAGGTTTTTCGCTATTTTAAAACTATTTCTCTAGTTAAAAATATTTCAGTTATCATAATTCCCATATCTTCTGCATTTTATAAAGCTTTCTACAAATTATATTTCAGCCATCTTCGAGTATTTGGTAAACTTTGAAAAATCCGAGCAAATGAAGCCCCCTTAGAGCTTGTCTTAGCCCAATCGAATTCGCTAACAAGTTGTTGCAACTTTTTTAGGAATTCCCAAATCAACAGCCTTTCACAACTCAGCCACGAGCAAGTTTCCAATTTGCTTTTCACGCTTGCAGTTTTACAAGCTGCTACATGATTGGGGTCGTCCGGCCATAGTTCCTACGACCTCTCGCTCCAGCCAGCAGTTCCCGCCGTCTGTCCGCCTGTCCGTCCGCTCCATAACAAGCTGCCAAATTTCACACTTGGCTCAGCTGCGGGAAAAATTCAATAGTCGAGCACCTAAACTAAAAGTTTCAGCGCGTGGCGCCTGAAATGTGTCAGTGATATGAAAAATTCTTGAACTGCAATCGAACTGCCCTAATCCCTGCCCCAGCACAGCCCCAATGGCTACCCTTTCGTCGGGCGTCATCTAATTTACTCGCCGTTTTATTACGAGCTGACAGTTTATTAAAAACTCATCGAAACTGGGTCTGATTTCGATTCAGATTTGGTTTTCCACTCTTTGGGGTTGCCCCCTTATCAAGATCCACGACACATGTCAGAGCTGCGTTAGCTGATTACCGACGCTAGATAAATATTAAGCAACTATATAACAACTTCCCCCGCCTGGCCCCCTCCAATCGTCGCCCTCTCAGCCAACAGTCGCCGCTGTCTCCATTGCGAACGACGTCATCGCCTGTTTGTTTGGGAAGCGCCAAAACAGCTTCCTTTCTGTAATTGACTCACCGCCAAGGGGCAAGACCCCACCACCACCCCCGCCCTGCCCTCCGCCCATGCAGCGTGATAATGAAATTTTTTGGCTTCGAGTGCTATAAATGTATGCAGGGCAACTCCTGGACTGTTATTGTTGTTGCTTGGCACGTGGCACGCGGCAGTTGCTACGTGCAGCCGGGTGGGGCAGGGAAATGGCATCAAATTGATTTAGATTTTAGTTATGTTGTTATTCAACATGCTGCCCCACGGCATGCTCGTAATTATTTTTGAACAGGGAATTGTGCAGTAATTAAAAATGATTAGCTCATAAAGATTTCCGCATGAGGAAAGACATCGCTCGACACTTTCCACCGGAATGGATATTTAAAGTTGCAGCGTAAAAAACTCCATATCAATGGAAACAATATAAGGCGAATAAATAAGTTTCGGAAGAAAACGCAAAGACTTTAGCTCAGCTTAAACTTTTTCAAACTTTGTCTTAGACAAAGTCCTTTTCGTTAAATGCCTTCTCTTTAGGGGCGCAGCTCAGTTTGGAAGTGATAAATTTCCATTTTTTTTTATGGCATCAAGAAAAATCAAAACAATTTCGTGTGAAAAATTATGTATTTTTGGAAAATTTATCACACTCACACAGACATCAGCATCGAGGCGGACAGATTCTTGGATTCTTGGTGCCGGCGCATGTCAAAAATTTTGAAGAGCTCCTCAACTGGAGCGAGGCGTCGGATGCATCAAGTGGACGGACGGACCAGCGTGACGATAATGTGACCATGCTGAAGATGATGCTGATGCTGCTGCTGCTGCTGCTGATGTTGTGCGTGCTTGCTGACGATGACGAAGCTGCTCTGCTCTGCTCTGTATCTCTGTGTCTGTGTCTGAGTCTGAGTCTGGGTTTTATGGTAATGCCAAGTACGTGAATGATGCACCAAGCTTGGCTGCTGATTCCCGGTATAGGGCTGGCAGCGGGGCGAATTTGTGCGCCAGCCAAGATTTATAGAAATAAGTCGAAGGCACTTGTTTACAGCATCAGCACAATGCGCTGCGCTACCAAGAAATCTGCACAAGCAACCAAATGAATCTCTGCCACAGACGAATAAAGCCGAATATAAAACTTACTACAAGATTATGGCCATCATATAAATTATGTTGCTTTAGATACATTTATCGACTTAGTAACTGAAAGAGGGATGGAGAGTGAGGCTGAATGAGATCTTTAAAATTTAAAATGTATTTTATAGCATTTAAAAAGCTTACTATACTGTGGAAATAAATATTTATATAATATTTAATAACTAATATAAATATATATAATTCTTATATAATATATAATCCAATCTAGACCTCCTATTCGAAAGAACCCTTGACCTATACGACATAATCAATTACAACTCTACTTGAGTATCCACTGAATGTTCCTTAAACAATGGAAAACGTATTAAATATATAATTTATATAATATTAAAAGTTAAATAAGCTGTTATTGAAGAAGCCATTAAGATATAGAAATACATATACATATATATAAACATATATAAATATTGATATCTAGACTTCCCATTCGGAAGTGTTTCAAAGAACCTTTAACCTCTCCGACATAATCAATAACTACTCTACTTAAAAGCCCTCTGAATGCTCTTTAAACTAGATTTTGCGCACTATTTTCTATTCTTTTCAGAGCTCTGCTCGGATTAAATTTACAAATTTAAGACAATTTGATGAAATGACTTACAAAACCCGACTGGGTGCTAAACCCAGCCCCAAATCTAGTTTACAAATTAGAAACCGCAAAACCAACAACAACAAGGAACCGCAGCAACATCAGCTGCAGCAGCAGCAACAACAACAACAACAACAGCTGGAAAATCAGTTTTCGCCTCTGTCCAGCCACAAAGCCACACCCCCTAAGGAACAAAAAAAAAACAGAGTATAAAGCGCCCTACGTGCTATGAGGGGCAAGAGCTGCTAAAGGCTTTTGTCTAATGTCCAGCTGGAGTCTGGGATTTTGGATGTGGGATGTGGAATATGCAATTGGAAATGGGTGTGTGTGTGAGTGTGTTGCACTTTTGAATTTCAACTTTGTCTGCTGCGTGTAAAATTTACTTGCTCCAAATTCAATTCAAAAGCGATTATCACCACTTAGCTGTCAACGACACGACGCCAGCTCCAACGGATCCCAGCCGGACGGAGTCCTAAGAGCGCGCCGAGCTCTGCCAATAACCAGCGCAGCCACTTGAGCACTTCACAAAGGGCATGGCCAAATGTACAGCCATACATACATATGCATGCAGCCGTGTGTATAGATGTATGTGTATGTGTGTGTCTATGTATATGCATGTAGCTACATCTATAACACTCGGTTGGCTCAAATAAAATTTACACTTACAAGTGGCGCTAAAGTCAAGTGTAATGCCTCAGCCCCTGCCCCTGCCCCTGCCCCTGCTCTAAGCTGCCGTCAGCTGGTTAGACATGGCCAAAAGGCTGGCGGTGGCGGCGGTGGTGCTGCTGCTGCGGCAAATGTGGTCAAGAGTTTTATAAAGTTCATCATCCATGGCCCATGGTCCTAAGCATTTTTCAAGTGCAGCGCCAAAAGATTTTCAATTTCAAATATACAAGTACATATGGATGTATTATATAAGCAGTTGGCCGCCCAGCAGTCGCTGCCTCTGCGAATCCCCTGTCCACACCTAGCCGCAGCGGCTTTAAGCCATTTCATTATGCCCTGCACAATGGCCACAATGGCTAGTCCATACCGTTGGCAGGGCTCCAAGATTGCATTTGAATCTGCTTTTCGGCAAATCGTGAGAATATTCAATTTATGATATAAGTAGAAATCATGTGGACTTGAAATTTTAAACGGGATTTGATGGAATTATATTGAATTAAATAAATATATTAAATAAAATAAATTTTATATATGTATGCATGATTAAAATTTCGATATAAATTCATATAAAATTAAATACATAAAATAAAAAAAAATAATAATAAATAAAAATAAAATAACAAAATAGAATTTGTATATAAATTTAAAAAAAAATCTGATGGAACTGTATTAAATGAAATAAAAAAATAAAAAATATATAGAAATAAAAAAAATATATAAATAAAAAAAATAAATAATAATTTAAGATAAAATATTCATGTAAGCACAATAAATTTTTATCAACGATTTGATGGTTAATGTATTATATTATATATAAAAATTTTAATTTTAATTTTGAAAAACTATTGACTCACCCGTTTCAAATCAAATATAAGTATATAAAATGAAGAGCATCTGAAGCAGCTATATCATATAACTGACATTTCTCACTCACGCTCTCTCCCTCTCACACACTCACGCACACTGTCTAGCCCTCTCTCTTTCCGTCTTCCACTTGTCTTGACTGCACATACTACATAAAGTACATAATCATGTTCATGACGTGCGCTGAAGTGGGTTTGGGCTCTGAGTTTTGGGCTGGACGGTGTTGGCCTGTGTTGGGCGCCTGTTATAAAAGCTTAAACCGTTACAAGTATTTAAAAAGCACTTCAGTTCAGCTTGAGGACTAACACAAATGTATTAAAAGCATATTGAAATGTATTGCATTGTTTATTTTAATTAAATCAACAGCATTCGGGGAACGCTACATGCCGGTTACATAATCTTCCTCTTTGCCTGAGATGCTGTCTTGAGGCGGACTACGGGCGCCTGGGCGGCATTCTAGCTGCTGCGGCAATGTTTTGACAGTTCAATTTCTGACAAGGATCTGGTTTGAAAATATGTATATGTATATTCAGTAATAATATGAGAGATATGTAGTTTGATTAACTCACTTCTGCAGGAAATCAGCTGCAAATCACATTGGGTTTGATCTCGCCAGACTCGGTCCCGAACCGTCCTGCGACACAGATTATTTAGCTCAGTGGTGTCCATCCGATTCCTTCGGCAGGACACACAGGCGTTGTAGATCCTGTCACAGTCGGACCTCTGTGAGTGGATGGCCGTGAAGCAGATCACCAGGAGGACGACGAAAATGATTTGAATTTGCATCTTGCCCGCTCTATAAACAGATACTGATACTCACTGAATGCTCCAGCTGGCTTATATAGGCAGCACGAACTATAGATGCTATAGACAAACAGCTGTTCTTTAGAGCACGCATCGAAGAATATGGATTGATCATATTCCCAAAAGATTTTCAATGAACTGAAAAGAAAGCTGATTATGATAATATAAATGCATTGTTACCTGCAATATTTGACTTACATAATGGCACATCTGTTTCACAGGTGAGTCACACACTTCCTCATCTGGAATTTCGACTATAAATAGCTGGCAATTTAGCCAAGTTTATCAAGAGTTCATTTCTTACGCCACCACCTCAGTAATCATGTCAAAAGTTCTGATATTCTTGGGTAAGTTTTGACGGCAAACCGAGCCCGAGTCTAGGATCAAAACAAACAATTTTCTCCCATAGCTTTCTTCTGCTTGTGCCTGATGCTAATTCAAGCTCAGCCAAATGAGAACAGAAGGATCTGCGAGAAGCTGACCCGTGACTGCGTTGCGTGTCAGCGTAGAAGAGGACCTGACGACGATGTGACTAATATCTTCAATGCCAATTGTCGCAGAAACAATCGCCGATGGAAGAATATTACACGCTGCGAGCTAGACCGTGCCACCTGTGAGCGTAAGTACAAAGAAATAATTGATCGCACTCTGCCTAGAAATTCATAACAAATTCATTTATTTTCAGTAACTCTGATTTCCTGCAGAGCTGTGACCTGTGAAAATGTGCGTCGTATACTAGACTAACGGATGCAATTAGAGAGAAGATGTGCAAATGACTAAATTGAGAAATGTATTGCATTGTACAACTTAAGAAAATATATTAACATTTTATTCAATCCAACGCAAAAATCAGTTAATCAACAGTTGACAAAAGTACGTGAATTGAGCTCAATTTGTTGACTCAAATAATTTCAGTGTCTGTGGAATTTTCCTGCCTATATTCATGCCAATTGTAGTCTACATAGCCTCACTAATTCGCACACAATATCCAACACGGCCGCTTATCAGTCAAATGCATAGCTTGCAAGATCTACCCCTCTCTCTCTCACTCTCTTGATAGATGTTTAACATTTACTCTCTTGTTACTTTCTTAGCTCAGCCCAACTCACCACACGCTAAGCCTACTTATACATTTGCATATTCACCACAGCTCAGCTGTTTCTGCCGCTCTGTCTACCACAGAGCAAACAGAGCGTCGCCTCGCTGCTCTCGCATGTAAACAAAACTTGATGAGATGCAGAGAGGAAAACCAAACAACAGACACACACACTCACACACACACAGCTCTATCTGGCTCTCTGTCTGTTTGTCTGCCGATCTATCTGCTAAAATACACATGGTGATAATAAAGATTGCGAGCCGAAAACAAAATTTTTTGTGCGGCGTTAGTCGCTGTCATCGTTGCTTCTACTGTTGTTGCTGTTGTTGCTGTTATTGTTGTTGTTATTGTTAATTTTTCACGCACACAAACAGGCCAAACAACGTAGGAGCTCTTGATACTCGTAATAAGCCAGTTGCACGTCCAGTCGCAGTCGCCTAGTTGACAGTTGTCGCGAGTGTCGCGTGAGCCCGAAGAGCAAAACGTAAAAACAGAAAAAAAAGTGAAATAAAAATACCCCACATTTCACCATTGCTTCTGTGTATGCATTATAAATTGCCATATTGATCGACTGAACTGATTGATTAAGTGTTTCGTGTGTGGAGTGGACTGAAGTGGAGTGAAGTGGAGCGGAGTGGAGTGGTGCAGCAGCTGCTGCCAATGCCGTTGCCAAAATGTCAAATAGCACATTTACGCATCTGACCAAACTGCAGCCGCTGCTCCGTGTGGTGGGCAGCAGTTTCGCGGCGCTATCCCCCACCGACGACGTTTATTCACCAGACTTGCAAAGTATTCACAGCTACAGCAGCAGCAACAACAACAATTTGAATGTGGGCAGCGACCAAAACAACAACAACGACATTTTGGTGCTGTACGAGCAGGAGAATTACACATACCGTTCCACATCGACCATTGTGCTAATGGTCGCCGCCTGGATACTGCTGATACTGGGCTTTGTCTTCTGCTGCTGTGCGGAGTGCTTCGGCGTGAGCGTCTGGCGGGGCAAGAAGCGCGCCAGCATCTCGCGGAGCGGCGCTGAGAGCGCTGCCACCAGCACCACCGCCACTGGCGACCAGTCGAGCCAACTTCATGCAGGTGAGTTTCTTAGCTTCACAGAGCTTTGCTGCGGCGAAAATGCCAATGCAGCGGCATACTTTTCGGCGCGGCTGAGAAATGTGACAGCAGCAGCAGCAGAAGCAGCAGCAGCAGAAGCAGCAACAAGAGCCACAACAACAATGAAACTTTTGTGTCCCGTTGGCCAAAGCAACACTCAACTTCCTACACACCTCTCTCTCTCTCTCTGTCTCTCTCCCTCTACGATACAGTTCAAAAATGCAAAATGGCAACAATAACCTAACAATGACAGCGTAAGAGATTAAGAACGAACTAGAAATACCCTGCTATATGAGAAATACTTGTGCATTTATTGAGCTGAGGCTCCTAAGGCAAGCTGAGCTATAATTCTGATCACTTTTTGGAATGGGAAATATCTCTACTCTTCACTCTATATTATATAAATATATTATTCTAATATTTCTATAAAATACTCTTAAATATATTTAAGTATATAATTCTAATACAATAATTTCTCACATTTTAATTTCACCACATTGAATATATATATACATTATAAACCAATCCCAAAGAACTTTCTCAACAGCATCTATCCTCAATTCTGTAGTTATCCAGCAAATAGTTGCTATTGTATTTATAAAACCTGCCCGCTTTGTTGCAAAGTTTTTACCTAAGAGTCATCAGTTTGCATTGAAAATGTCGAAAACTTTGGGCTCCATGGGGATGGCCGCTGCTGCACATGTGCGATTGCTAAACAAAGTGAATTTCTCTGGGGCTTAGGGTATGGCAACGCATTTGTATGGGCTGTCAATGCGCTCAGCTGCCACTGCTGAACTACTTTTGGACAAAACGCAAAAGGCAACGGAGCAGAGCTCCATGCAAATGTATTTTGCGTTTTGAGTGCTGAGAATTGTGCACTGCCTGCAGTTTTTCTGATGGGGTAGTCTGCCCGCCCGCCCTCCAGTCTCTCCCCTGGCCGCCCGCACGCCCGCTCGCTGGCCTTATCGATATCATAAAATATTTAGCTATTTTTCGTATCTCGTTTCGTTTTGTTATTGGTAAATTTGGCATGCGTTTTGGCTAAAATTGGCTTTTGGCCAAGTAAACGAGTGGCAGCTACACACGTACGACTCCACACACACACACACACACACACACACATAAATTGCCCATATTTCTGGCATCATTTTGAGTTTATGCGCCTCTGCCTAGCTCCCCCCTCACACCCACCCCAGGCGGTTATCGGTTGAAACTTGTGCATTGCACAATGCCCACTAAATTCTCAAAGATATTGAGTTTCATTAAGCCAATGCTCATATATGTGTGTGGGTGTGGGTGTATGTGTGTGTGGGTGTATGTGTGGTATGTGGGCCAAACGGAGCATCAGCAGCCGTCAGTGGGTCATTAGACTCTCGCATCGATAAAGCAAAATTTGTTTGCAATTTATTTGGCCTACTAGTTTGCTGCAGATTTGTGGAATGTTAGCTTAAAGTGGCTTTTGCTTGCCGCATTCCTTCCAAAAATGCAGCAGCTCCAAATATGCCTTTTGTTTGTTTAGACAAAGTGCGAAGCCCTTATTGGAATGTATATTTCACAAAAGTTATTTCAGCTGGAATACTCAAATGATTTAGAAATATGAGCAAGTTTTAATGCAAACTAAGAGATGGCTGGTCAATGACTAGTAGTCATATATAAAATGTTATTGGCAAAAGAAATGCCAATAAATATTAATTATTTTCCTTTTCTTTCTTAATAATTTTTCCTTTTCTGTTCAATTATTAGTTAACAGAGTAAATACTTATCGATAAAGAAATATATTAATAATGAGCTTTCAAATACCAATCACTTTACTTCAGTAACCAATTATCGATAAACATATACAATAAGAACAAACTTGCTATAACCCTATGTAAATTGGATAATTTTAAGTTTAAGAACTAAATACTTAACAATAATAATTTATCGATAAACATATGCAATTAAAACAAGCTTTTCATCAACATTACCAACCTCTCAAGCATCTCCTCTTTTCATATTCAATAACAATAACATTTCTACTTATCGATTATCGATTAAACGTATATCGATAAGTCGTAAACTGCAGCTGCAGTAAAAGCAACATTGATTTGAAATCAGGACACATTGTTCTCCCCGACGACAGCGTCGTGAAATGTTATTTTAATACACCGCCGTGCGTTAGCAACATGAACCGTAAGCCGTAAATACTAAACTGCAAGCAGGAGCACGCCGTGCCGCAGCAGCTCGTAAGTAATCGATTTGATGGTCCGTTCCCCCACTCAATATATGCAGTTGAGCGCATTGGCCCATTTCGATAACTACATAAGACCCGTCTTAGTGTGTCAAGCGATAAATTCGCGCACTCGCCGCACTCGCCGCACTCCGCCGTAATGCCAACAAGGCGAAGCGAGGGCACAGCGATGCGGTAGATAACTTTAAGTTGCAGCCATAAAAAATTGCGAAAGTTACAAATGTTTTATGAAAGTTTCTCATTTTATTTAGCCTTTTATATTATATTATATACATACATACATATAGATGTATATATGTATGTATATATAGATATCAGCGCGCCCTGTGCATCGACTCGGCAGAGTTCGCATACTGCACAAGTTTTTAATAAAAGTTCTGTGCAGCTATTGCCATACCCACCAGAAACCCACTTCCAGTTGCAGCACCACTACCACCACTTCCACTTCCACTTCCACTTCCTCCAGGGGCTGTCAGCCATTCGCTCTGTTCAGGAATTCATAACCGCATTGCTCTCAGCGACTGCCAAGCCGAGCAGCAGGCGCAGTTGTACATACCAATTACTTATATATCGACGATATGCTGGCTGAGACAATAACCGAGAATATCCCCCAGCCGGCATGCCCCCCTCCTGGGCACAGCTGATGCAGCTTTGGCTTATAATAAGTTTTTGTCTCCGCGCAGCGGATTGCGCCTGCCAAGTTCCATTGAGTTGGCCAACTTAAATCTATAATGTAATTCAGTTCTCCTCTTCGATTTGTAGACACTTTAAAATTGGGATTCCATTTATTGATGTTGCGAAATATTGTGAGTCTTTTATTTGCTGTTTACGCGCTCCATTGCTATCTGTCCCTTCTCGTGCCCCACCTGCTGTTTATTCGTGTACATCATTTTTTACAGCCCCTCATCAGCGGCAAAGCTGAGGGCAGCCCGGGAGACAGACAGGAGGCGCTGCTTAGTTAGTCCTTCATGGCACTTTGATTGCTCATTTGGCATTTATTTGACGGCCTTATTCTCCGCCTGCCATCTGCAGTCTCCTACGGCTGCTCTTAAATTATTCATTGTGCGTGCCCCCTGCCCCACTCCCGGCGCCTGCAGCATCTTCAATCTTCTGCTACTGCTGCTGCTGCTGCTCCTGCCCACGTACAGCACTGCGTTGAGAGCTATGCGAATTTTTAAAATATTCATGTCCTGCCGCTGGCATCGCTGGCCAAGAAACTCGCTGAAAACATCATCGGACCAGGCACTAACTAAATGTGCGTAATTTTTACCGACAGCGCATTGAAAATATCGCTCGCAGCTATCAGACAGCAGCTGTACGTGAGTTTGCAACTT